TGACGGAAATGTTACGCCCCTTACCATACTTTGATGCCGTGTCCCGGAGCGACGAGACAAAACCAATAAAACTCATTATAAACGAGGCATTCGTTGCATCCAGTGGGGACATAATTACAGATTATAATGACTTATACTGTCTTTTTATGCATTGCGTTGCATCGTGCCGTGTAAACATAAAACCATGTCTGCATTTGTGATCGGAGAAATGACAAACAAGCACTACTCTTCACTGCTCAAAACTCGTGTTTGAATCATCAGTGGCAAATTCTTTAAATATGAAAACGTAATTACAGACAGAGAGTCAGAACAGCCGGCATTGTAGTCTACTCTCCCAGGATCAGGAAACAGTACACTTATTTGGGTTGAAGTGTTCTGGAACAGTGTTGTAAATACAACTTAACCACTGATTTCTAGTCGTGTCCTCTTTTGGAAGACCAAACAAAGTAGTTTCGCTTTCGCAACGAAACACACAGTGTCTTCACAACATGGCGGCGGCAACAACAATAAAGTCACGCCTTCTTTCTTTGCGTGAACATCTGGCCGGCGTTATGCAAATCTTCCCACATCGTGATGTAGATATGTGGGGGCGTGTCAGAACGAGCCGTTTTAGGGGGATGTGGACCAGTCTTAAATTTTATAAAGAATATCTCTTTGGGTTTGAGACTTTAGTCTTTGCAACTTTAGGGATCTTACCTGTTCACGAACAGCTTGTAACACTCCAAAGAGAAAGGAAAACTTGAAATCGCATCATATGACCCCTTTAAGAAAAACAAGTTTCTAAAATGAACACCTCGCTAACTAGCTTAGCTGCTAGATGCCTGCATAACACATTTGATTAAACTAGTCGTGATGTGCAGATAACTCGACATGTATTTGACTCCCCTGTTCCGCTTGCATGTTGAAGCTGATGCTTACTAGTTTAGGCAGATCTCGAAGACATCTAGTAAATACTGACATTCTGGGCGATGTCTCAATCCCTTAGAATGACAAATAAATACATAGTATCAGTTGATATGTACTGTACTGTCAATATAGTTTATATAATTATTTTACAAATGCTTATACATCATTAAAATCTCTTTTTTTTTCAAATGCTTATGGATCATTAACATTAGTTAATGCATTAACTAACAATGAACAATATATTTTTACAGCATTTATTAATATTTGTTAATTTTAGTTAATAAATATTTTCATGTTCATCTTATAGGATAAGAAATATTTTAAGCCTGATCTTGTACTGCACAGTTTCCATTAGTTAGAATGACAAACAAACACATAGAATAAGTCAATATGTACTGTACTGGTGATATAATTTTATATAATTATTTCACAAATGCTTATATATCAATAAGATCATTTTAAAAAATGTTTATAGGTCATTAAAAATTTTGGTAATGCTTTCCAATAAGGTCTCATTTGTTATCATTAGTTAATACATTAACTAACATGAACTAAGAATGAACAGTATATTTTTACCACGTTTATTAATCTTTTTTAATGTTAGTTAATAAAAAGGTTCATGTTCATGTTCACAGTACATTAATTAATGTTAGCAGATACAACTTTACATTTTAATTAATAATGTGTTAGTAAGTTTTGAACTTAATATGAACTCAAATTAATAACATTTTAAATATAATTATTGTTCATGTTAACTAATATATTTAATGTTAACAAATGAAGCATCATTGTAAAGTGTTACCAAAGTACCTCATTTTAAAGTGTTACACTAAAGTGTTATATCTTGTTCTCTCTTCTCTCTCTGCGTGTGTGTGTGTTGCACTCTCTTGATGTAATAGTGTAACCCTTTCATTGCTGTAACCTATAAAACCAGACTGCCAGAGGGTTACTCTAAATGCATGTGCCCTACTATGAACTGTTTTCCTGATGCCACCGGGATGGCGGTAGCACTGGTGGCTTGGGCGCTCATCGCTGCTTGCAGCTATATTTTGGTTTTGAATCCATAAACCACTGATTTCTAGTCGTGTCCTCTTTTGGAAGACCAAACAAAGTAGTTTCGCTTTCGCAACGAAACACACAGTGTCTTCACAACATGGCGGCGGCAACAACAATAAAGTCACGCCTTCTTTCTTTGCGTGAACATCTGGCCGGCGTTATGCAAATCTTCCCACATCGTGATGTAGATATGTGGGGGCGTGTCAGAACGAGCCGTTTTAGGGGGATGTGGACCAGTCTTAAATTTTATAAAGAATATCTCTTTGGGTTTGAGACTTTAGTCTTTGCAACTTTAGGGATCTTATCTGTTCACGAACAGCTTGTAACACTCCAAAGAGAAAGGAAAACTTGAAATCGCATCATATGACCCCTTTAAGAAAAACAAGTTTCTAAAATGAACACCTCGCTAACTAGCTTAGCTGCTAGATGCCTGCATAACACATTTGATTAAACTAGTCGTGATGTGCAGATAACTCGACATGTATTTGACTCCCCTGTTCCGCTTGCATGTTGAAGCTGATGCTTACTAGTTTAGGCAGATCTCGAAGACATCTAGTAAATACTGACATTCTGGGCGATGTCTCAATCCCTTAGAATGACAAATAAATACATAGTATCAGTTGATATGTACTGTACTGTCAATATAGTTTATATAATTATTTTACAAATGCTTATACATCATTAAAATCTCTTTTTTTTTCAAATGCTTATGGATCATTAACATTAGTTAATGCATTAACTAACAATGAACAATATATTTTTACAGCATTTATTAATATTTGTTAATTTTAGTTAATAAATATTTTCATGTTCATCTTATAGGATAAGAAATATTTTAAGCCTGATCTTGTACTGCACAGTTTCCATTAGTTAGAATGACAAACAAACACATAGAATAAGTCAATATGTACTGTACTGGTGATATAATTTTATATAATTATTTCACAAATGCTTATATATCAATAAGATCATTTTAAAAAATGTTTATAGGTCATTAAAAATTTTGGTAATGCTTTCCAATAAGGTCTCATTTGTTATCATTAGTTAATACATTAACTAACATGAACTAAGAATGAACAGTATATTTTTACCACGTTTATTAATCTTTTTTAATGTTAGTTAATAAAAAGGTTCATGTTCATGTTCACAGTACATTAATTAATGTTAGCAGATACAACTTTACATTTTAATTAATAATGTGTTAGTAAGTTTTGAACTTAATATGAACTCAAATTAATAACATTTTAAATATAATTATTGTTCATGTTAACTAATATATTTAATGTTAACAAATGAAGCATCATTGTAAAGTGTTACCAAAGTACCTCATTTTAAAGTGTTACACTAAAGTGTTATATCTTGTTCTCTCTTCTCTCTCTGCGTGTGTGTGTGTTGCACTCTCTTGATGTAATAGTGTAACCCTTTCATTGCTGTAACCTATAAAACCAGACTGCCAGAGGGTTACTCTAAATGCATGTGCCCTACTATGAACTGTTTTCCTGATGCCACCGGGATGGCGGTAGCACTGGTGGCTTGGGCGCTCATCGCTGCTTGCAGCTATATTTTGGTTTTGAATCCATAATATGACGTGACATGTGGCCAAGTATGGTTACCCATACTAGGAATTAGTGCTCTGCATTTAACCCATCCTAAGTGCACACACTCAGCAGTGAACACACACCCGGAGCAGTGGGCAGCCATTTATGCTGCGGCACCCGGGGAGCAGTTGGGGGTTCGGTGCCTTGCTGAAGGGCACCTCAGTCGTGGTATTGAAGGTGGAAGAGAGCACTGTACATTCACTCCCCCCACCTCCAATTTTGGGTTACGAGTCCAACTCTTTAACCATTAGGCCACGACTTCCCTGAAAATTTGTGATAGACCAAAACATATTATCTCCTATTACTTTGTTTCAATTTAGCTGTATACCCTAACTGATGTTATAATTACTAAACAATATTGAACATAATTTATGTAAAAAAAAAAAAAAAAGATTTGTGGCAATACATACAGTTCACAAATTACATATAAAGAGTAGAACAATTTTAAATGTACTCACCCTCAGGCCATCCAAGATGTAGATGAGTTTGTTTCTTCATCAGAACAGATTTGGAGAAATGTACCAATGGATGCTCTGCAGTGAATGGGTGCCATCAGAATGAGAGTCCAAACAGCTGATAAAAACATCACAATAATCCACAAGTAATTCACACCACTCCAGTCCAACAATTAAAGCGTTGTGAAATTAAAAACTGCATGTTTGCAAGAAACAAATCCATCATTGAGGTGTGTTTTTACTTTAAACCGCTGCTTCTGGCCAAAATATTATTCATCATAAATAATAATGATTCTTCCAATGAAAAAAGTCAATCTCCTGTTGTCCTCTCAAAATCCTCTGACATATTTATTAAAAACTGTTTTCCCTTGTAAACACTGATTGATTTGTGCATATTTCTCTCCTCCATGAGACAACTTTTTCAAGGGAGAAAGTGATATTAGATATTTTAGCATTATTTTATTTTAGTAATGGTTTGAGGTTAAAAACATCTTGATGGATTTGTTTCTTACAAACATTCAGCTTTTCACTTCACAAGACATTAAATGATGGATTTGTGGATTATTGTGAAATTGATGCATTGGTGAGCAAGTGATCCAAATCGGTTTGGAAGAAACAAACTCATCTACATCTTAAATGTCCTGATTTTAAGTGAACTTTTCTTTTAATGATGATTCCTGGCACATCCTCATAAAAACTTTGAAAATCATATTTCAAACAGCTTTTGAAAACCAAAAAGTTTTGCTGAATTTATAAGGTAAACCCTCTTTTGAAATGTTGAAAATGCACAGAAGGTACAGTTTCATCTGTCAACTCAGGCTCACCCCAACCAACCGACAGAGAGATAGAGAGAGAGAAAGAAAGAGAGAGAGGAGGGCAATAAACCCTGCAAACCAGATCCACCTCAAGAAAGCATTTTATCCCTCACTCTGCTCTTGCTCTCTCTCACACTTAAATTAATTTTCTCTCTCTTTTTCTGCCTGAGATGTCGTCTCTTCTGAGGGAGGAGATGGACAGAGTCTTGTTCAGACCGGAGGAACAGAAGCTGAAGGAGTTTATAGAAATAGAGGAGCAACAGCAGGGACGACATTTTCTCTGCGTTTCTAGTAAGAAAAATCAACTTCTATCTATTTTATGCATGCTTATTTGAGGTGATGTGCTGAGTTATCTTCCATTAGAAAAAAAAATGTGTGATCATCTGGGGACACGTTCAGATATTGTTTCTGAAGGAAGAATTCTAAAAAAAAATTAAAAATCCTAAATATGCTTTGTATGGTTTGATGAAGAGGTGTAATAAAAATACAAAACCAATGTGTGTTTAGTATCTAAGGATAAAGAAGCTCAAATCTCAGTGGTCCTGTGTCGGAGAGTTAAACATTCACGGACCAATAAGCTGCAGAAATCTGGGCTGGAGGACAGTTATGAAAAAACTGAGATTTGGGCCCTGGAAGATCTGCTGATTCTGGACGGTAGAGATCCAGATACTGTGAGTTGAGCTTGGCATTCATCCACATCCCATTTATGATTACACATGCTACTTAGATGCTTGAAAACATATGTTAAGGCTAAATCTGACGTAGACTTCATATTAATAGTGCTGATGAGTTGTATTGCCTTAGGAAGTGGAATCTCTTACTTTTCATTGGAAGATGTTCAGTTTGCATATCTCTGCTGTGTTAGGATGATCCCTGTTTCTTGATGCATTTCGACACGGTGCGGTCGGTCAGAGCAGTGAGCTGTGCTGCAAAATACACGCTGGCCCGCTGTCTGCTGTCCCTGAGCAGGAAGTATCACCACACGGCACTGAAACTTAAGAACTTTGACTGGACGTACATTCAGCCCACTGCAGTGTATTCAGATCGTGGTGACTGTGTTGTCCTTGCGCAGATCTGTTTCTATGCCTTTAATCTGGTGTGTCTTTCCTTGTGTCCTGTGCCTCTGGCATAGAGACATTTTGATTAATCTTCTTATTTAATGAGATTTCTTTTAAACTGGCCCTAAAAACCTAAACCCTTGATGCTGACAATAAAAAGTTAATTTCAGTGTTATCTGCAATGCCCTTAGGGAGTGTACTTAAGCCATGCTTTGAGCACTCAGACAGACCTACAGTAGCTGTAACATAACGCCACATTGTGGGTGAAATCCAATTTGTGCTTGTGCAACACAAAAGAGTGTTTCTGATTAGTAATGTTGTGACTTTATAAGTGTAATAAATGCTACATGTTTTGCATGTTTTAGCTGATTCATTAAGCAAGCTATGTATTTAATCATTTCAAAAAGTGAAACTGTGAAACAAACTTGTGGATATTACAGAATACACCGTTTTAATAATCTTGCCATCTGGTGAAACATCTATTGTTTTCTCATTCCTGCAGTGTGCTTTACATGTTATTGAATAAAAACTGTGCCATTGCAAAACATCCATCAACTATTCCAAACAAATGAAATGTATGGAACATTTTCAAAACATTTGTGACTGTGTGCAAGACAGCTTTAATTCTTTGCATGCATAATATTCTTGGTATTTATCTGTAAATGTGCAGCTACTTACCAAATAAATATATAAATGATAATAAAATATTTGAATTGGGATTAAAAAAAGGGGGTTTTATTTCGTGAAAAAACAGACCTCGTGATTACAGAACAAGTCCAACTATATATCAAATATAGTTTAATGGTCGTTACCAGTGTTGGGGAAAGTTACTTTTAAAAGTAATGCATTACAATATTGCGTTACGTGTTCTTTAACATTTAATTATTGCAGGCTTGTGTCATATTCTGAGTTGCATTATTTTTATTCATTTTGAGGAATACTGAATCTGTGCGGGGTTTTTTTGTGAGTGAGATGAATTAATGCATATTTATATTTATTTTAGATCTACAGTAACATCTTCTGATTTCTCTCAACATGGGGACAGCAGAGCTGTCAATCAATAAATTGAAAAAAAAATCAACTTGCATTACTTATTTGAAAAAGTAACTCAGATATTCTCTTGTAAATTAAAAAGTAATGCGTTACTTTACTAGTTACTTGAAAAAAGTAATCTGATTACGTAACTTGTAATGCGTTACTCCCAACACTGAATAGAATAGAATGCCCAGAGTCAATTATTCCATAAAATATGCTAATGTTATGTAACAGGTTAAATGTGCACTAATGACACTTGAGCCAAAGCCCCCAGCTGACGTCACACACGCGTTAATGTTTTGGGGGTGGCTAAATAATAGCCTGAATCAACAGAATACATTTTTTTCACTTCTAATAATAGTGCTTTGTTTGTAATGACCGTGAGTTCTTGCAAAATAAACTAACATTTTGTCTAAATACATGCAGGATGCGAGTGAATTTCTTTGTTTGTAATTGAACTCGTAACTTATATCCGGTCATAACGGCGTAGCGGAAGCGCTCCTGGCGCCAAATTTCAAGTTTGGATGGTTGAACTGAAAGCACCGCCGAAGTTGTTTGAGGTTATCGCATAGAATACAGCAGTGTGTAGCGTTTTTATTGTATTTTCCTCATACGGTGGTTGATCGATATGTACATAAAGTCTATTGTACTAGAGGGCTTCAAGTCCTACGCCGAAAGGACGGAGATTAACGGCTTTGACCCGTTTTTTAACGCCATCACTGGACTGAACGGCAGTGGAAAGTCGAATATACTGGATTCCATCTGCTTTCTGCTCGGGATTTCTAACCTGTCACAGGTCAGTTTTAATACATTAAATATCATCTACACGTAGCCATATAAATACATCTTTCAGCTTTTAACAGCAGTGGTTTATGCATTTATTTATTTGTTTTTGCTTAATTAAAAAACAACAAAAAGTATGAATCACTTTTATGACAACAACAACAACAACATACAAAATGCAAAAAAGTCAAACCGAATAGGATACAGAGGTATCCTATTAGAAAGGATAAGAGTTTAACAGCTAATACTGCTTGTTTGGGCTTGTCAAACCTTGTAGGTTCGTGCCACTAATCTCCAAGATCTGGTGTACAAAAATGGCCTGGCTGGGATCACCAAAGCAACTGTGTCCATCACTTTTGACAACTCCAACAAGAAACAGAGTCCACTTGGGTTTGAGACGCATGATGAGATTACTATTACACGACAGGTATTTGGCTTGAGATCAGTGTTTGCTCCACAGTCTCGCTGATAACACTCATTATTGTGACATTATTGTTTGTGTTGTGCAGGTGGTCATAGGTGGACGAAACAAGTACCTCATCAACGGCGTGAACGCGAACAATCTGCGAGTCCAGGATCTATTTTGTTCAGTTGGCTTGAATGTCAACAACCCTCACTTTCTGATCATGCAGGTAACCACCATAATACAGTGTTTTAAAGGGGTCATATGATGCTGCTAAAAAGAACATTATTTTGTGTATTTGGTGTAATGAAATGTGTATGTGGTTTAAGGTTAAAAAAACACATTATTTTCCACATATTGTACATTATTGTTTCTCCTCTATGCCCCAACTTTCTGATTTTTACAAAGCTCATTGGTCTGAAAAGCGAGGTGTGCTGTGATTGGCCAGCTATCCAGAGCGTTGTGATTGGGCGAATACCTCAAGCGTGTGACGGAAATGTTACGCCCCTCACCATACTGTGATGCTGTGTCCCGGAGCGACAAGACAAAAACATTAAAACCCATTATAAACGAGGCATTCGTTGCATCCAGTGGGGACATAATTATGGATTATAATGACTTATACTGTCTTTTTATGCATTGCGTAAACATAAAACCATGTCTGCATTTGTGATCGGAGAAACGACAAACAACAAGTGCTAATCTACACTGCCCAAAAAGTGGCAAATCCTTTAAATATGAAAACGTACTTGCAGTCTGTGAGTCAGAACAGCAGGCATTGTAGGAAGCCGATATCGTCCTCTTTTGGAAGGCCAAACAAAGTAGTTTCGCTTTCACAATGAAACACACAGCACCTTCACGCCATGGGGCGGCGGCGGCAACAATACTACAGCGAGAATAAAAGTTACGCCGCCTTTCTTTGCGTGAACATTTGGGCGCCGTTATGCAAATCTTCCCACATAGTGATGTAGACATGTGGGGGCGTGTTAGAACGAGGCGTTTTAGGTAGGTGTGGTTGACTCTTAACTTTTATAAAGAATATCTCTTTGGATTTGAGACTTTAGTCTTTGCAACTTTACAGATCTTCTTTATGCACCAAGAGCTTGTAACACTCCGAAGAGAAAGGAACAATTGAAATCGCATCATATGACCCCTTTAAGACTTTTCATGTTATGTGGCCTGAAAAGATTTATTCTTATGAAATTATATTGGATATTCATATTCTTAACCATAGGACTTTCATTTTAAAATGAACGTGAATGGCTGATTGCTACTTATTTTTCTTCTGTAATGTGACAATTTGTCCTCAAATTCATTTTGGTTTCATCTTTTTAGATAGATGAGCTTTTGTGCCAGTTGTAGTTACGGTTCACATTCTCAGTCACTCCTGTTGTATGTTTATTTCAGGGCAGAATCACCAAGGTCTTAAACATGAAGCCCCCGGAGGTGAGATGTTTGTCATTTGAATCTACTTGGTTGTGATCTAATCACATTTGATTGTAGTAATAAAGCTTGCAGTTGAATTGCAGTGAGCTGATGGATGAAGTGACACAAACATCCAGTGTCTCAGATGCAAGTTCATGTTTTTTTTCCCCCACAGATTCTGGCTATGATTGAAGAGGCTGCAGGTACCAGGATGTACGAATGCAAGAAGATCAGTGCTCAGAAAACCATTGAGAAGAAAGATGCCAAGCTGAAAGAGATTCAGACTGTACATACATTTATTTAAATATAATTTTTTATTTAAATGACCCAACAGTTGGAACAACCAGCAATTTCATCTAATGGCGATGAAAATCTGTGTGTGTGTGTGTGTGTGTGTGTGTGTGTGTGAGACAGATCCTGGATGAGGAGATCACCCCTGCTATGGAGAAACTGAAGGAGGTAGGTGTTTATAACAAAAACACAAAAAAGTATTACTAGAATTCAGGGATATTTAAGTTCAATGATGAACTGCCTTTAACTCAAAATTGAGTGTTTACTATTGTCATTTTTGCATTATTGACGCTATTTTCCTAATTAATGCTGTACAGTTGCTCTGACACAATCTGTATTGTTAAAAGCACTATATAAATAAAGGTGACTTGGCTTGACTTAAAAATATTTTGTTTAAAAAAATCTTCATGTGGTATTAACCCCATGTTACTGTGAAACACAAAATAATTCTTAGGCTGAATATTAATAATAACTTATTTATAATTTATTGCATATGTGTATATTAGATTCATGTTATGAGAAAATCATGTAATAAATGAAGTGGTTAATTATTAATAAATGTATTCAAGAGGCTATACATTACTGTGCGCCACTGTTTTTCTTTATCTGCTGCTATGAACACATTTTGTTTTTCCATTTAAGTTGTCTAACAGCTTCAATTCCTTACTGTGGAACGAAAGCATATGACTTCTACAATATATATTTATCATCTTTGGCACACCCTGTCTGTCTCCCTTGCTTCTCCTCAGGAACGTGCGTCCTACCTGGAGTACCAGAAGCTCATGCGTGAGATCGAGCACTTGAGTCGACTGTACGTGGCGTACCTGTTTGTGTGTGCTGAGGAGACCAAACTGAAGTCTACTGAAGACCTGCAGGAGATGCAGAGCTCCGTCGCACAGCTGCAGGAGAACATGAGGCAGAACGAGGCCAAAGTGAAGGAGCTGAGCGCGGAGATACAGGAGCTGGAGCGCAGGAGGGACAAGGTAAACAGCAGAGCAGGAGCAAGAAGTAATAGTGTATGCGTTGGAAACATTCATAGGGAAATTTCAGCCTTTGAGGGCTACCCGATTTATTTTTAATTGTTTCTCACTGTGTAATGAAGTTTCAAACTTTTCTCCTTTATTGCTTGTCAAGTGC